ATTAGTCGATCAATCCTTCTACCAATCAATCAATCAATCAATCAACAATCAATCAATCAATCAATCAATCAATCAACCAACCAACCAAATTGATTGATTATTTGATTGATTGAATGATTGAATGATTGATTGATTGATCGATTGATTGGTCGATTGATTGATCGATTGATTGATTGATTGATTGATTGATTGATTGATTGATTGATTGAGGTAGGGATAGGGGGAGGTAGAGAAAGGGGGGTGGTTGAGAGGGGGATGACCGACTCTGACAATGTCATGGTTGTTCAACTTGGTTTCCTGCTTTCTTTGCCTCCAGGATGACGAAGAACGGCACCGAGTCTGTCAAGAGGCACTACACGGACTTGGGCTTCATTGGAGAACCGAAGAAGGGGAACAAGAAGCGGCGATGCAATTATTGCGACCTGATGGTGTGTGGCACGGCAACCAGAGCCATACGCCATTTTCTTGTGGCATCACGGTGCAAAATCGAGCGGTTGAAAGGGGTTGTGTCGAAGGAGGACTACCAGCGGAGGGAGAGGGGGAAGAAGGCCGCATTGGAAGAGGTTGGGGCCCTTGGGGGTGCAGCCRCAGMGGAAATGGAGAGCTCYGAGGAGGACGAGAACACGCCTGGTGAGGTGATGRGAAACAAGMCCACGGAAGTTGCTGCGTCCGGTTCAGGGGTGCGCGCGCGGCAGTCAACCATCCTCGACTGTGGGGCGGTTTTGACTAAGCATGAGGAGACTCAGCGGAAGATCGACGATTGGATGACGGCGCACTGCATCCCATTCCACATGATGAGGAGTGASGAATGGGAGGCGATGGTGGAAGCGCTGAAGAATGYAYCCCCGTCCTTCCAATATGCCAGGTTCGAGAAGGCACGAACCACACGGGTCGAAAGCAAGAGGGCACGGGTTGCGGCGAGGATAGAGGAACTGAGGAGGGAGTGGCCCATCACYGGTTGSATGTTGCAACTGGACRGGTGGACCGACCGGCGGTCCAGGCCACACATCAACGTGATGGTCTCCTTCCCCAGGGGCGCCGTGTTTTGGAAGAGTGTCTGCATGAGCAACCGCGACAAGGGTGCTGCTGCCTACCACTCCATCTTGAAGAGTGTGATAGAGGAGATAGGGGAGGATGCTGTGGTTGGTGTCCTAATGGACAACGCTGCAGTTTGTGCGGCCGCGGGTCGCATGGTGGAGAGGGATTACCCACACATCTACTCCGTGCCTTGCTCAGCGCATTGCCTTGACCTCATGTTTGAGGCGTTCTCGAAGATTCTGTGGGTAGAAGAGGCCCTGCAGCGGGCGTTGGACCTTGCGAAATTTCTCGTGAACCATGGACGGGTGCTTGACTTGCTGCACGAGAAATCCAATGGCAAAGTTGTGGCAAGACCAGGCGCAACCCGTTTTGCCACAAACTTCATCACGGTTGACAGCCTGCAGCAGCTGTACCTGCCTCTCCGGGCGTGCGTGACGGACCCTGCGTGGAAAAACGGGATCGTGCTACCGGGTCAACGCCAGTTGTTGAGGGAGGCGACGGATTCTATCCTCGACGACAGTTTCTGGGCTGGCATAGAGAAAGTGCAGGAGACGTCGAAAGAGTTACTGACCCTGTTGAAGTTGGTGGACAGCCCTGGTCCAACAATCAGCAAGGTGTACGGGCGACTCGACCGTGCGGTAGAGAAGTTAAGGGCGAGTGAATTCTTCAGCGATGCCGAGAAAGACGAGCTGGAGGATATTGTCATGCGCCGTTGGAACACAATGAATTCGCCGCTGCATTGTGCGGCGATGTTTTTGGATCTGGAATACAAGACGACACAGCCGGAGAAGGATGCGAAGGTCTTAGATGGATTTTGGGTATGGGTGTATTCATGGTGCAAGCCATCAGCGTACGTGGAGGTGGACGCGGAAGTGAACTGTTGGATTGAGGGCACAGGCAGGTTCAACTGCGAAGAGGCCAGGGCAGCAGCACGAAGTGCACAACCCACAAGATGGTGGAAGAAATGGTGCAGTGACATGCCRCACCTCCAGAAGCACGCAGTTCGCCTGCTTGGTCAAAGCTCCTCCTCCTCTGCCTGCGAAAGAAACTGGAGCCTCTTTGAGCGGATCCACTCCAAGGCCAGAAATGSGTTGTCGGTGAAGAAGTTGAGCACACTAGTTYACAACAGATGGAACCACCATTTGTTGGCCCGCTTAGAAAAAAAGYCGGAAACCGGTGYCGGTGACATTCCATGGGAGGAGGATCGCGTACTCACGGAGGAGGAGCTTGCAGCAGATGCAAAAGAGCGGGTGGACGAGTGGCGAAACCGGCTGCGTGCGGCAAACGAAGCGGCTGAAGCGAGCGATGACGAMGACGACGACGACGATGAGGACAATGATGAACCAATCTCCTTCGGCTCGAGGCAGATCTCAATGATTCATGGAGGAAGACGACGCGGCCTTCCAAGTACCTCGCTAGGCAGCATCTCCGAGAGATGCAGCGGACAGCGAAGACCATGACGGCTGAGCACGCTGAGCAATATAGAGCTGCTCGCACGAAGGCACTCGAACCCGCCACCAAACCGGCTGAGCGAGGGAGGGGGAGAACGCGGAAAGCCCCGGTGCAGCAAGTTGATGATGCAGCAGCTCAGAGGGCAGCAAATGGAGAAGTGGAGGAGGGTGGTGGCAGCGGCTCCAATGCAGAAGCTACTGCACCAAAACGGGCGAAACGTRGGCAAGGTAGAYGACGCAAGTCCCTTAAACACACGGAGGAGGAGGAGGCAGCAGTGCGAATGGCAARCAGCRGCAGGGGTGGTGGCAGTGCCRCACGTGATGCGAGTGAAGAGGATGGGAGTGATAGCCCTGCGGACAGGGAGGACGCAAGTGCAGGCGAGACCAGTGGTGATAGCCCTGCGGACAGGGAGGACGCAAGCGCAGGCGAGGGCAGTGGTAGTAGCTCAGCGGAAGAGGATGAGTGCAGTTCTGAAGATTAGCCGCTGGCTGCAAAGGCTGCAAAGAAACAGAATCCCGTCTCAGATCCGGTCCTGCGTAGATGTCAGATCTGAAAAACTTTATTTCAAATGAGTTATAAAGTCTGCAGTTTCTGTTTTGTGTTTTCTGTAGTCTCGTCGGGTTGGTCTGTTGAGAACTAATTTGATKGATTGATTGAGCCTTTCTGATTGTCTATGACAGTCAGGGCTCAGAAGYTGCCAAGTTGTATGCACTGCATGCCAGTCTGTCCCTCAAACAAGGTAAGTCTCGTTCCCCATACTTCTCCCTTCCGAGGTGTGTCGTCGGACACTCAACTGTTGTTGATTGTGTGGTTCTCATGTATAATGTTTGTGTTCATTGTGGCAGGTTGTGGAATGTGAGGTACCATTGTTGTTTTAGCAGAGATAAGATCAGATAACACGCCATGATGTGCTGAAAAAAAAAAAAAAAAAAAAAAAAGTCCAGACATTTTTGCGGACCGGGGCACCGGTCCGGACGGTCCGGGTCCGGTGCTGTCCGGTTGTCCGGTACCTGTCCGGATTACCGGACGTCTGGACCGGTCCGGACAAATGTCCGGGCGTCAGTCCAGACAGGTCCGGGTCCGCGGTTGCCATGGTTTTGACTCACTTCCTTGTCTTAAAGATTGTTGACCCTTCTCTTCCTTTCATCGTCACGACTCATGCAAGTCGGTATGGATTGGGGATGTGCTACAGCAAGATGACAATAAGAAATATAGACCTATTGAGTTTATGTCGAGAAGACTTCCTTCAGAAAAAATGGCCAACTCCACTTATAAAAGGGAATTGTATGCCTCAGTTGTTGCACTAGATACCTGGAAACATTACTTGTTAGGAAGGCATTTCACTGTCTATTCTGACCACTCTATTTTAAAGTGGATCAAGACTCAGCCTAGACTCTCTGAGAAGTTGGTAAGATGGTCCGCTTTCCTTGATACGTTTGACTTTGAGGTGAAAACCATCAAAGGTAAGTCTAACGTAGTTACGGATGCTTTGTCCAGGCGTGCGGATTTCTTTGGAACCATTGTCTCCTACCTCGATATCGGGAATGAACTAAAAGAACAGATCCACAAGGGTTATGGGAGTGATCCTATTTGGAGTCCCATCATGGAGACTCTACAAAAGAACCCTGAGTTATTCCCAGAATATCGAATGACTGATAGCTTACTCTTCTATTTGGATCAAACCGAAGAAAAATTGTGCATTCGTCACCAAGAGTCAATCAAGAGTGTAATCATTAGGGAATGTCATGATGGAAAAGGCCACTTTGATTTTAAGAAGAGGTATGCCGATGTGCGAGAACGATAAGGAAGATGTACTAACCTATGTGCGGACTTATCTTATCTGTCAAAAGAACAAACCCTCACATGAGAATCCGATGGGGCTGTTGAGACCGCTGCCTATTCCAAGTGAGCCAAGTGAGTCTGAGTCTCCTTAAGAGTCGAAATGGCAACAGTCAGGTAATGGTCATCGTAGATAGATTCTCTTAAGTATGCTATGTTTATTCCTTTGTCTACTGAAGCTAGAACCGAGCTACTCATCAAGAAGTTCCAGATGCGATGGGTCTTTGAGTATGGATTCCCGATGGAACAAGCCCTCACATGAGAATCCGATGGGACGTGAGCCAAGTGAGTCTGAGTCTCCTTAAGAGTCGAAATGGCAACAGTCAGGTAATGGTCATCGTAGCTCTTAAGTATGCTATGTTCATTCCTTTGTCTATACGCTAGAACTGAGCTAGTCATCAAGAAGTTTCAAATGTGATGGGTCTTTCAGTATGGATTCTCGAAACCATCGTCTCTGATAGGGATGTTCGGTTCACTAGTCTACAATGGCAAAGTTGATGGAAGTCTATGGGATCAGGTTGACCATGTCGTCACGCAGACATCCTGAAACAAATGGCCAAACTGAGCAAACGAACCGTTTTTGCCAACAACTTTTGCGAATGTATGCCCGACCTGATCAGATAAATTGGGATAAGAACTTGCCTAAAATTGATAGTGCCTATAATAACAGCATACATACTATTACAGGAAGAACACCTAATGCACTGCATAAAGGATGAAAGCCTAGGCGTCCCATTGATGCGTTAACAAGGGACCAGATTCAAAGGTTACCCCCAGGTACGTGATAATTTGTTGTTTTGTATGAACAAGACATTAAGAAGGTTAAGGAAAACATACAGAAAGCCCAACTACAAATGATTGAACAAGCTAATAAACATCACCGACCTTCACAATTTCAAGAAGGGGATTTTGTCTGGGTTTCCTTAGAAGAAAATATGTCTCAGAAACTGCTACTTGTCTACTATGGCCCCTGGGAAGTTCTCAAGATGATTGGAGACGCGGACAGACCTTCCTACTGCATCGATGTACCTGTTCTGGTCTGCACCATTACGGTATGCAACAGTTTGGTATCGGAGTGGACCTCTCAATCAGAGGATCCGCCCAATCAAGGAGCCAGCTTGCTTGATTGACTGATTGATTGATTGATTGATTGATTGATTGATTGATTGATCGATTATTAGTTAATCAAGCAGGGCTTCATCAAATCTCTGCCAAAACAAATTCACAACAGATCTCCAGAAATTTGGATATTAGCATTTCGTTCTTTTTGTTTCACTCTGGGCATATTAGGTGAACTAGGGAGGTTGTCATATTCTCGGAAACTGGATCTATTCTTCTCTGAAAGTGGAACCTCCATTCTATTTAGCGCAAAAAAAAAAATTCCGAGATCGCATTTTTTTTGAAAGCCGAAACTTTGCGAAACCTTGCCTCGTCTTCTTCTTTTTCTTCTTCTTCGGGATTGGGACGGAAACCAAGGTCACAAAAACTCACCTGCAGAGATAATTCGACGCGATCGCTCAAGAAAGTCGTTAGGTCGCTCCACTTGCATCATTCGTTCAACGATCCGCTTCTTCTCCTCTAGTAACACTATCCTCGGCTCATAGCACTCCTCTGTAATGCCTCACTAATAGCCGATTGACAGATATTAAAAAAAAAAAAAAAAAAAACGGGGGGGGAATCCTCTTCTTTTCAAGGCTGAATTTTCGGTCTCACCGGGCTTCCCTTCCCCAACCGGAACCGGGCCGGTGGTACCGGCCGGTGGACCACGCTGGTTTCACCCCAGTGGAATTTTGCGCAGCTTGATCGTGGGGGGGGTTCATTTTTTTTGGGGGTCGGGAGGCCTCCATGCGGGTCGTGGAGGCCTCCCAACCCCCCCCCAAAAAAAAACGGGTCCGGTAGGCCCGCTAGAAATTTGAAAAACTGGCGGCCTATCTGGGCCGTCGATCTGGTGAGATCTGCAGCCCAGATAGGCCGTCGGTTTTTTAACATTCAGGTGGGAAACCACCCGATGTTCTTGGCGATTCGAACGTGCCCCAGCAACCGGCCCCACCACCCAGCCTCCCGCCTCCAGCTGCTTTCGAGCAGCACAACCCGTCACTTCGACACTTCGTCGAAAGTGAACGCGGTTGAGACTGCGTCGCCCCCCTCCCACGTCCGCCCCGGCCTCGGATCGCCATCGCCCCACCCCGCCGTCCATCGGTGAAGGTAAGTCTATACCATCTTCTTCTTCTTCTTCTTCTTCTTCTTCTTCTTCTTCTTCTTCTTACTATCTTCTTCTCCTTCTTCTTCTTCTTCCATTTCTTCTTCTTCTTCTTCTTCTTCTTCTTCTTCTTCTTCTTCTTCTTCTTCTTCTGGCAGAGGAGGCGCGTTGGGGTACCATCTTCTTCTTCTTCTTCTGGCAGAGGAGAAGTTTGCCAAGGAAATGGGCGCATTGGGGTACCATCTTCTTCTTCTTCTTCTTAGGATACGAGGTTGAAAAGATACTGGAACATGGCTATTTACAGGAGGCCGAGTAAGACCTCAGAAGCAGTATAAGGTAAAGTTCAAGTCCCAACCTCCATCTGAAGCCAGATGGTTTAGTAGGAAAGAACTCCTACCTACTGCTTCAGACATCATTGCTGCATATGAACGTGGGTTGAATGAGAATTGATGTATTTATGTGATGGAACTCGAAAATTGGGCCACTACAGGCCACGCTCAAACCCAGGCTGAAGGGGGGGCAAAACACCCCACAAAAAGGTTCAGGGCCTGGACGCGACACAGTTGACCAAGTCAATTGTAGGTCTACCCAACAGTCAAAGTCAAAGGTGCCCAGCCCAAGCCGCCAGTCAGGCATGCACATTTGTTTGTATGCAGGTACCCAGACAACATCAGGTCCAAAGGGAAATCTGCAACTGTACACAATCCAGGCCCTCGGCTGTGAGTCAATCTGGACGACTGTGAGGGAGGGAACGGAGGCCAGACAGCCTCCTCAAATACTACTTAAAGGCTGTCTTCGAGGTGGTCAACATTCAGTCTTGCTATGCTGCTTGGACGCTGGCTTGACTTCGACCAAACGCTGGCATTGACGCTAGCACAACGTTGGCGAGACGATGGCTGGACACAGGCACTGTGGACGACGGCGGGGGCTGTGACGGCATGCTGGCGCATTCTGCATCGTGCGCTAGGCATTGCTGATGTGGCGCTGCCACTTGTCTTCAAGGCTGATGTGGTGCAGGCCACGTGTCTACATTGCTGATGTGGCGCTGCCTCTGGTCTATATTGCATGCTGATGTGGCGCTGTCTATGGTCTACATTGGATGCTGATGTGGCGCATGTCTATGGTCTACATTGCATGCTGATGTGGCGCACGTCTATGGTCTACATTGCATACTGATGTGGCGCATGCCACTGGTCTACATTGATGATGTGGCGCATGCCACCTGTCTCAACTGCTGACGTGGCATTGTCCACACTGTCTACATGAGGTGACTGGTTGTGAGGAGGAGGAAGATCGGGATCTATGGATGATTGGGAAACTGGATACTTACCTGAGGCCGACGTTGATATTGTTCGCTGCTGGCTGTCTTCATCGTCTCTATAAGAGAGTGGTGCCACGTGGCACCTCTGTATGATCAGACTTTATCAGACTTGTTACTATTGTTGATTGATGATGTGGAGGGAGAAGGAGCCCGGAGAAGGAGTGGGACAGGTTGGGCTATTATCGTGTGATCTTTGATTATCCCTT